GTGAGCCATTTTGTAATGATGGATGAGGCTAGTGCCTTAAAATCATCACTTTTTGTAAGCATGGAAACCCACTGAACCCTGTCAGATGGAATATCACCTTCTCTCCTAGAGCCTTATAAACTAAGGGCATAATCTATTCTCACAGGGGTATACAGGAGTCCAGGACCAAACCTACGCTTAACCAAAGGGTTGTTATACGGGGATAGAATATGAATTTTACAGTTATAATAGGAGTTTTAAAGTTTTGCTTGCCTAAGCTGAAATTGCTACTGAAACATTAGACCAGCCACAGGCTTTGGCACTCAAATCAAAGCTGGTGATTTTGACCCTTCTAAAGAATGATGTTTCTTGAAACAGCGTCTGTCATTGTTAGTTTCATTTTCTCATAAAATAAAAACTATGGATCATGTGAAGACATAAGTGTCAAGCAAAATCTATGTTCAGTTTACAAAGAAGTGAAATTGTATACCTTCTATAATTTCAGTCCAAGTGTTAGAGCTTAGCAAGCCATACAGTCAATTGTATGCACAGAAATAAATCACGGTTTGTATACGTATGGCTCTTGAAACACATTTTTCTACAGGTATAATGACAAGGAGCACAAATATACAGGAGATTGGAAAATGTGTAATCATTCTCTTCTGTAGAAGAATTAAAGACACTTAATAGTAATGGACTAGGCATCAACCACTGCCAAAGGTATCAACAATTTTCACTTTTACCATCTATCACTTAGAAAAATCTGCTTGCTGCTTCTGTCTTCCTCTACATGGTTTCAGAGTTAAAAATTAAATATGCAGCTTCACATCTCATTTTTAACAGTTAATTGCTGCATAAATACGCAGCATAAAGGAAAGCACAGACATTTTATAAAACCAGAATGGTTCTGAAATATTCAGTTGCGTCTTTATTTACATTTCTTATGCAGTAGATACATTTGAAAGACCTACTCTGAAGTGACTCTTTCCATAGTAAGGCAAAGTTAAATTTGCCTAGACAGCATCTGAACCAAAAATTTAAACTCCTCATAATTTTGGAGGCAATAGAATTGACATTTATTGCTGTGCCATATCAAACTACAGCCCCACCTCTGGATAACAAAAGACTACAGGGTAGATGGATGCTTTAAGAGCCTTCCCTGGAGCCATCCAACGCATACTGTGTCATCTACTTAGATGATAAACTCCTGGAAATGCCTGGACTTGAACATTTTTCTGTGTTTTGTACAGATCTACTTCTTACGGTGTTTAGAATGATCATCACGATTAATCCATAGATAAACTACCCTAAGGAAGCCAATGTTGCCTGCCCTGCAAGAGCATGGCCTCAGATGTGGCATAAATACCATCTGCTCTCCGTTATTTACAGTGCCTAACACGGCTCCCCAGGGAGACATGAGTCCAATGCCTAAATTCACCGGTCATGCAGGGGAGGTAAGCACTAACTTTATTAGACTGTGAATTAGGCCACTGATCTGTAACACCCCCAAAGCCTGCATGCTGATTCTAGATGTATATATACATATATATCTCATCAGCAGACATCAGCAAACCCTTGCCCACTTCCCGACCAAAGCCACCCACAGAACGAGCCAGAACACTGCACTGCGCAACAGTGCTACCACCCCCCTTGGTGAACCTGTAGAAAACTGTGTCGTGTCATACAAAGTTCAGCTCTTTCAATATTAGAAACAAACGTAGAGTAATGCATCTCAAATTATCAAATGACCACACACTAATGTGATTTTCCCTGTCTAGTGCTTTCACAATAACTGAAGCAACAGTCACTTCAGCAGTGGAAAAAAAGAAATAAAAAAGCCAAACAACTGAAAAATATCTAGGTCACTACCAACTAAAAGATTAAATTTATTTTCAGTATCTCAACCTTGTTTTTTACTTAATTTGATGGTATGAAAGGACATTATTGACACACGGCCACTGTGCATACCCAGCCACATGTGCCTGTGCGGAATGCATGAACAAATTGCATGGTCAGTGTTATAACACTCAGACACCAATTTATAACTAAGCCATAAGATTTTAATGTAAGCTGATGGATGATTTTTGAAAGGTAAATGGCATAAGTTTCTCCTTTTGCTAAATGCATATGATTCCTGTTCTTTGGTATTTATACTTCTGTAACATAGCTTTCAAAAAACTTCATCTGGGAAGCAGCACATTAGCTCTGTCTCCTAACTGGCTGGAATAAACAACCCATCTGTAAAGCTTTCCTTGAGCAAGGGGCTTCTTTCCTGTTTGTGCCTAAAAGGAAATGGAAGCATAGTAAAAAAACAGTCCAAAGGGGAAGAGACCTGCCAAAGGAGATACATGTATGCATTGTACTGCCTGTTAGGATTCTAAATTCCTTGCATGGCTTACATGGATATCTCTCACTGTGCTCTCTCTAGCATTGAATCTTATCTCCAATGTTTAGAAACAAGAACTGTAATAAAATCTGTGGATCAAAATCTAAGAAACCCAGCAGAATCTGCCCTGGTGGTGTTGGCCTAGCCATTCCATATATGACAACATGTAGTTTGAACTACAAATTAATGTCATGTATGAAAATAAAACAAAATCTAATTCTCATCTGTATTGGGTTTGCATGGGAAGGTTTAGGTGTGTTACAGGGGTGGCTTCTGTTAGAAGCTTCCCATGTTCAGCAAAGCCAGTGCCAGTCCCAGGACAGACCTGCTGCTGGCCAAGACCAAGACCCATCAGTCACTGTGGTAGCACTTCTGTGGTAACGGGGGGCGGGGAAATGCTGGAAAAGAGCAGTTGGAGAAAGGAGGATATGTAAGAGAAACAAGCCCTGAGATCAGTGCAGAAGGAGGAGCAGGAGGTGTTCCAGGCACTGGAGCAGAGATTTCCCTGCAGCCCATGGTGCAGCCCATGGTAAGGCAGGATGTGACCCTCCAGTCCGTGGAGGAACAGAGATCCAGCTGCAGCCTGTGGAGAACTCCACACTGGAGCAGGTGGAGGCCTAAAAGAGTCTATGACCCCATAGGAAGCCTAGGTTGGAGCAGGGTCCTGGCAGGACTTCTGACCCCACAAGGGACTCACACTGGAGCAACTTGTTCCTGAAGGACTGCACCCTGAAGGAGGGACCCACACTGGAGCAGTTTGTGAAGAACTGCAGCCAGTGGGAAAGACTCAGGTGGAGCATTCTGTGGAGGACTGTCTTCTGTGGGAGGGACCCCATGGTGTAGCAAGAGCCCTCCACCTGAGGAGGAATGAGCAGCAGAGACATTTGATGTACTGACCACTGGCTCCATTTTTGTCCCCCTGCACTGCTGGGGGGAGCCCACTGAAGAGGGGGGAAGGTAGAGAAAATCAGGAGTGAAGTTAAGCCTGGAAAGAGGGAGAGGTGCAGGGAAAGTGTTTTAAGATTTTTGTTTATTTATTTTACCTTTCTCTGATTTGATTGGTAATAATTTTCCCACCCCCTCCAAGTTGAGTCTGTTTTTCCCATGATGGTACCTGGTGAGTGATCTCTCCCTGCCCTTATCTCAACTCCTGAGTCTTTCATCATATTTTGTCTCCCCAGCTCAGCTGAGGTAGGTGGTGATAGAGCATCTTTGATGGGCACCTGGCATCCAGCCAGGGTCAAGCAACCAGATAACCCTGATATCTTTCACACACCCAGCAGTCTTTATTCATAAATTACAGCAGCAGTAACTTCAATCAATAGTGCATACCTAGAAAATCTATTTTTAAAAGTTTCTGTAATACTTAAAAAGCTTAACATACCTGTTTTAGTGAATAAAAAAACTAATAATTGCTGTTCTTCTGAGTAGTAAAATCCACTCACATTGCATTACATATATATCCTTGCACAACAGAAATTTTCAAGATAGGGAGAATCTCTCTCCTGCTGCACTGAGCTATGAGTCATAAACATTTCCAACAGTCCACATTCAGTTGTTTAATCTCTTTTTCACAAAGGAACTAATTTCAGCCCAGAATTTAGACAGATGCTTAATACCCTGTTAGGTTGTTCCAATACAGCCAATACAGCCAGAAAATCAACTATTTACTCTGTGTCATGTTTGAGTTCCATAGTATTCATGTTCTAAAAAAAGATAATGAACTTCTAAACACTTTCCAGTAAATGTTACTGTAATTTTAGGCCTTCCTGAACAGGAATATTCTACAAGCTCTGGACATGTCAATCAAAATTTTGTATTAAATTTTACTTTTTAACAATTTAAGTCTACTGGACAAACACAGAGTATTCCAGGTTAATAATGTGCCCTCTTTTGCACTGAGCATGAACAGGTCAACACAGAAATTTCAAAGGCCATCTTGAAATTCTCTAGCATCGGCTATTCTTGGGCTTAAAATATGATGTGAAATCTGCTTGAAACAATGAGGATTCCCCAGGATCAGCCAGGAATGTCAGCTTGTCTCTGGGATGAAGGAAGGATATAGAGTCAGCTGGGAGCAGGAACAAAACAATCTAATAAATGGAAAAGGGATAGAGACAGAGATGCTGATTTCAGCCAATGTAACAGCTCTAATAGCTCCTATAGGACCAGTTCAGCTGCCTCCAAAAATGAAAGAGCTGCCTTGTACAGAGGTCCATTTCAGCTCCTGACTGCTTCCCAAGTCAAGTGAGGTCTGTAGCTGACATGTATTTACATCTGGCTTCTCAATGTACGAGCATTGAGAGGTCCACTCCAAAGACTTTTTTAAGAACCTTCCAATCACATTCCAGATGACTTCATGGAGTGTGACAAAATCAAAAGAAAAGGGGAGAAAACAGATGAGTGATGTAAGACACTGCCACAGAGAACTGCCAAGATGCCAATAGACTTTTTTTTCCAATTCTTTTAATTAACCCCAACTTACCACAGTTCAAATTAAAGCATCACCACACGCTATTGATTCCAAGCAAAGCTCAGATTTCTAAAAAAGCCATTTTCATAAAAATACACACATAAAACACTCACTTAAACAACTACAGGGTCTTGAAAGAAAGTAACTGAGAAATACAAGTACCTGTTGTCCCCACGGGCAGGATCCTTGGGTTTAGTATCACTATCATAAACAAAACGCTCCTGGGAGATGACTATGATGTTCTCTGTAGTTTCATTTCCCAAGATAGTGATAACAGGATAACCCATCTGTAATGTCCACTGATCCATTACCTCTTGGATGTTTACAGATTTTCCAACCCTTTTTAAAGCCTTGGAAAAAAAAGAGAAGTTTCAATACACTGAAGCAGTGTCAACATGTAAAACTTTTTTTTTTTCTTTTGGTCCCCAGGATCACAACTGGTTTTGAAGAGTAAAATAATTATCACACATCTATGCAGGTATGCACAGACACACACAGTACAGACACACTACATGACTGAATTTAAGGCTCTATGTATCTTAAAATTAAATGTTGAGCAATCTTAACAGAGAGCAGAGTGACAGTCAGAAAGTCATGTTTTCCACATCATTCAAGTACTTCTGTTGTAACAGAAGAAATAACCTGTTTTACAGGATTTAACAAGAGCCACAAAAATACTGGGTAGCTTTTCTTAGCCAGCTAAGGTTAAAAAAGACACAGTGTTAGCTGATCTAGGCACCTACAATAAGGCATATTTGAAAGGCCCTAATTTCTAAAAATACAGAGCTTCTCTGTTCTGAAAATCAAAAGTTAGTTATGACTAGTTATTTGAAAATACTGTCCCTTAAGTCCAAAGTGAAGCTATGTATAACAAGATATCCCCTGATGCTTCATAAACTGCACCTGTCACAATACATAGAAGATTAATATGTTCATATTTGATTCCATATGTCAATAAAAATGCTGTTTTACAAGTGGATTTTCATCTGAAACACAAAGAGATACTATAGCATCATGGGAGATGAGACTGCATATGAGGAGAAAGAGGCATCATCTGTTCTTCAGCGGCGGACATGCTCCTAGCTGTCGAACAGTCCAAGATCACAGACTGAGCAACCTCTGATGAATACAAGCAGAAGGTGTCTTCAGAACTGAAGCTGCAGTCGCACTGCATTAGGAACAAAGGGGCTGGCAACAAATGCATTTACAACTGAGGCAAACAGAATTATTAGCTGCAACAGTAGGTATGAGCACACAGCATAGCTGTAGTGGTTATGGACCAGAATAGAGTCTCATTTTTGTTCTACTTTATTAGCTATGGGTTCTGCAGCTCTTTCAAGACAACATTTATTCCTCTGACTTCCCATCGCCCAGGACTGTCCCAGAGGCTTTAATAAAGGCAGGCAAGAAAGATCCTTGCAGTGACATTCAGCTAGAGATTAAGACATAGATTTAAAAGCCTGACAGTATGTTACTTGTCTCAGCTCTCATTAGCAGTCAGTATAGACACAGGACTTAGTTCAGTTGACCACATGCAGGTGACTAATGTCATTTGACCTTTACCTGCCAGTCCAGAAGAGCACAGATTTCCCCATATATCTTATGCTAAATTGGTTAGACACGCCTGAATGTCTCAAACATCCTACTGCACCTAATCTAGTTAGGTGCACTAGTTGCCTGTAATTGAACAACTATCTTAAGTCTCTAGTCAACAGTCAGTGGTTCAGGCTTATTATAAAATAATCATGTAGTGGCTACCCAACTGAGTAACTCTCTATGCTCTGCTGACTTTATTGACTAGATTTCTGGGATTCTAGTCGTTCCTATCCACTAGTGTCAAATGACATGTCCTAAAATATTCAACACATTCTTTCAGAACCAGTGTACCTACAACAGATGTGTTTCTCATGTGGCAGCTGGAAGCCAGCTAAGGATAAATTAAGGTCAAAGCTGTTAGAAATCTGTACACATTGCCCTCCACTCAGTCTTTATTTCTGGGGAAGACTCAGGCTAGCTCAGACTAGTGCCATAGGGAGAAATTCAGACACACTGCTCATCTTACAAAGATTATAGCCATTGTGGAGCCCTAGACCAGGGTCTAGAACTCAAGCCAAGCCTGGATATGGTAATGTACGTCCCTACAGCATGCCAAATGTTACAGTAAATAATTCTCTGTTTACATCATACTTTGAAGCTTTAATAGTTTTGTCTTTCACAAAAATCTTAACTCCATGCAAAATCACAAACACAAGGGATGGAAACACCAAAGCTCGGCACTTTTATGTGCTTTCCAGCTTATGGGTCTCAGTGTGCTGCCACTGAAGTCAGACAGAGATTCCATGAAGTATGTTTCACTGCACATCAGTGACACAGCACATGCAGGGAAATATATTCTAACATAACAAAGAAAAGAAATGCTGCAGTACTCATCTTTTTAATGTTGCCACTAGGTTAACTCAAATGGAATTTCTTTGCATCAGTTTTTATATTTGCTCTGTGGCTTGAAGATCTCAATATGCACTATTCACTCCTGATCTCACCAACAAAAACACCATAGCAAATTCCTGTTTCTCCCTCTGTGCAATAGATTAAAGCATTTTACCTTTGACAATGTGTTCCAGAGATCGTTTCTGGCTGCATTGCCATACTTGTGAATGGTTAAATAGTCCTACAGAAATAAAATAAAAACAAAAATCAGTATTACAATACACAAGCCAAACAACTAGAGCTATTAGGAGTTAAATCACATCAATGTTTGCATTTGCTAGAAATCTAGAAATATACAGCACGTTCATCCTAAGGGAATAAATAAACAGTTTCTTAAGCTACTTTGCAATGCAAAAATTGTCACTAAAAATTTCATTTACAACATTCAATGCTCTTCCTTTTCTGTATAAGTCATTCTATAAGCTAAATATCTTTTATATATATATATATTTAGAACACATGCCTAATCTTGGGAAAGGTTCCTAGGTAATTCTTGGCAACGAAAGGAGAAGCTGCTGAAACACAGTTCCAGTTGCTATTTTAGCAGGTCATCCTGCTTTGTCTAGTGTCAAAAATTTGTTCACTCAGATGACAGTTCGATTCATTACAGAAGATTTAACTGAGCAATAGTCCATCTAAACTCCAAACTCTTATCTAGGGAGATCCTGGCCCTTCAGTGTCAAAATACATCATCCTGGCAACTAGGGTTGTAACAGGTTATCACAAAAGCTTCCCACAACAGGGAGCAGTAGAGGATATGTTACAGGAATCTAACTGTATGCTTGTGCACAGGGACTTACATGTGTGTTTTCCTACCAGCTGTGAGTCAGAGTCTGAGCAGGTTATAAACTGAATGCTTTCACTTACTCTGCAACAGTTTCGGTAACTGAAGGTCCATTCTTCTCCCATAACAACCAGAAAGATAATTCCCAATAAGCCTCCATCGTATTAAAATAACTTCCCAAATTAATAGTTTAAGCATATTACCAGCTCAGGACTAGGTTTTTCAAGCATAAAATACTTCGCTTTTAAAATGACTTCTGGAGAGACAACACTGTTGTTTCCCACCATCCCATGTCCCTTGACAACAGCTCATTCAGTTACAAAAGTGAAATTCAGCATTGATTATTTGAATAACTTAAATTTCAAGCATTTGATTGGGAAAATTAAGTGAAAAAAATAGATCAGAGGTTGTACATCAACTGGTTCTCCTAAAATTGAATTTCTACCATCTTCACTTTACACAATGGTAGAAGACAAACCCTAATTTACTGCACAATGATAAAACTGGGACAATTTGCTGACTATGTTATCTGTGCTTTGTGTGAAGTAAGATACTTTGGGAATAATTAGTATTTGGAAAGCAAATTTTCTGATACACAAATTGTAGCACCTGCGACAGATTTAGCTTTTGTCAGCCAACTTATAGTAAAACAAGCAACAACTCCCATTTAATCACAGACTAGGAAGGCTAAATGAGAACACTGACTCTATAAATGCAGTGCTGAGTCTTAACAATGTCATGAGACTAACTCGGAAAAAAGACAATATGATATAGGCTGCACCTATAGCACACTGTGCTTCCATTTTGTCTAAAAATACAGAATCATTTAAGATGCAGTGAAACATTCAATAGCTTCCAAAGCTAAAGAAGCTGAAATGCAAATTAGAAAGCTAAAACAGGACTAAACAAAAATGGGACAAGGTAAATAAATAACAACAGATATACAATCCACATTTTAAGCCGTACTAGAAAATGCTGCACATATTGGTCCTTCTGAGAGATGCTTTTAGAATCATTACAGTGCAAAATAAAATGGGTGAACACCTGAGGACTTCATCCAGGCAATAATCCTGTTTACCAATCTACAATGAGACATTATATTTGACTTTTACATTTTGTGTTCAGAAAGACTGCAGAGATTAAATGCTTCTGCCCTTTTCTTCTGAGTTTGAGCTTCTGAGTTTGGTTTTGTTTGGGTTTTTTCCTCCCGATACATAGATTGGGAGGTTTAAATGTAGCCTATCACTCAGTTAAAAATTTATTATCCTCCAACCTAACATGTTTATCTCACACAAAAAAAAGCCAAAAGGAATCCTAACCTTTACCATGAAGTAAGAATATACAGCAAGAAACACAGTGTCTTGGCACGATCCCTGTACCATACAACCTAATCATCAATTTTGTCATTATTTCATGGAAGTTGCATCAAGAGCATAAAACTAGGAGTGTGATCAAACTCATGCACAAAAAGCAGTCCTAAGTGACAGCATGTATCAACATGGGTTTTCAGTAGTAAACCTACACCGCAGTCTCAAATCTGAGTGCACTTTCCAGAGGCACAAGAACAAAAGGTTTCTGAACCAGGTCCTATCAAATACCCTCTTATTCCTATCCTCATACATTGTGTTCGACAGTAACCAGCAGCAGACACTTGGAAACAGTATAAAGCTAGAAAAGCATACAGTGGTACCTCCCACAACTGCTCTTCAATCATCCAGCACTTCACGGCACAAGAAACCCTAAGCAGATTAGTATCCTTGCATTTAATAGTTATCTTCTGTAAATTTGGCTGGTTGCTTTCTGAGCCTACACAAATCAGCACTTGCAACACCTTATGAAAAAGCATTTTGTGCTTCAGTGATCTGTTGTGTGACACCTGTTCCAAATGCCTGCCTGTCCGCTGGTTTCATCTGCTGCTTCCTACTTCTGGCATTAGAAGACACAGTGCATTATGTTCCCCACTTCACTCTCCCCAGGCCACTCATGTTTTTACAGATCTTTATGGAATGAATGCCCACCACAGGGCTTATACAGGTTTTATACTGAGAACTCTGCCAGACCCAACCACTCCCAGCTCTGCTGCAAAGTTATACTGCCACCCCAGCTACTGACTCCAAAGGTAGTCTGGATAGTTTCTGACCCTGCCTGAACTTTCATTACCAGATGATGAGTCTCACTTCCTCTTCCATTGACAGGCATTCAGCTTAAAAAGGAAAAGACACAGCAGCATCAAATACATATCAGTAAATAGTAAAATATGAGCCAAAGATCTATACATACCCTGCTTGTGTATTCTAAGGATAGAACAAGCAGGATTATAATCCATTTTTCCTCCTGGGGACTCGTATCTAAATCTTAAGCAGCTTGCAGAGGGGCAGAATTCATGTTCTCATTCACTGTAACTCTCCAGGGCAGGAGTATTAGCCGCCCCTTTGCCTGTACATTCAATAGAAAAACCAAAGCAAAGGGAACAGAGATGCAAGCCACAGAACAGAAAAGGAGGATGACACTGAAAACACAGCTGTCTGAATCTAAGTTGTGCTCAGCACAGCTCCAAAGGAGGCAAAGTGACTTAAAGCCACTTATTCATAAACACATATGCCCAAAACCATCTGGCTGCAAGGCTGCTTCCCATCATAAACTTGCAAGTCTATCACTGACAAAAGCTGTTCCATTGACTGGAGTATGCTGGAGCATGAAGATATGCATTAGCCACCTTCCTGTCAGCCTATGGTGTGTGTGAGCACAAAAAGATGGCATGCAAATCATAAAAAAATCTCTTTAACAACTCCAGACTCAAGTGTGCTCTTCATGGAGAAGGTAGGAAAAGTTTGCAGACCCTAGGGCATTGTCACACAACATGAAAATTAATGAAAAACACACACCTAGAAGTAATCATTTGGGTTTACATTTTCAGCATGCATCCTCTTGCACTATTCTTCCTAATATTTTCACATTAAAACATGAAGCCACTCTTTGCCAAAAAAGAATGGAATGTGATCCATTCACCTCTATCAATAAAAAATTTATCAATGCAGTTTTCTAACATGCTTTAGCAAGTCTTAACATCAAATAAATAAATAAACTAAATATCCTCTGTGATACCATGAAAATAAAGTCCATTTACTGCTCAACCAAAATGTAAGATCCTTCCAAAAATCCCTACAGATTTAATGTGTTATCAAACAGTAATCTTAATCACCCCCCAAAAAAAAGAATTAAAAGGCTCAATGCTTTTGAAATTATTTCTTGAGAACTGGAACAGATAGCTTGAACAGTAATAAGAACAGCGAAAAATGCTAAGATTTTGAGAGATGGCTTTAGTGATGCTGTTTTGATTAAGCTTTCACAACTTTTATCGTATTAGTTTTTTTAAGAAAATCAGATTATTTAAAAGGGAAAAGTCTTTAATTTCTTCGTAATATTACCTAGTAACTAAGCCTCTTGGTTTAAAAATAAATTAACTACCCCACTAGCCAATGCTCACAACTAAAGAAAGGTAATGACTGATAAATACCAAAAGGTTAAACAAATGTAAAGGAGGAATAAGTCTCCACACATGTGTCTTACTTCCAGGGGAGATTTTACATCTATAAACAGAAAATGTAATATCAAATCTAGGACTAAACTCCTTCCTCAGTTAATCTGTAATAAGTTGATTGCTCAGCTGAAGGAACAACTCCAGAATAACATGAGTGGTGTTGAGATCTGAAACAGATGTTACTGAATAACTTCATTTTTCTGCTAAAGATAACTGGAAAATTTCACCATATGAAGAAGGAAAAAGTAGAAAACTATTCTCATCTCCAGTTCTTGTGGCTATGTTTCTCCTTTCTCAAGGCTCAGGAAAAGCAGATTTGCCTCTACCTCCCTTTTTTGTATTTCAATCCTACTCCTCAGTGCACATCCTCCTCCCTTTGGCCTACAATATGTTCTTGTTCAGTGGTTTTATACATGACTGCTGTATATCACCCAAGATTTAACACTACAAATAAAAACATTTAGTTCAGGTAGAAATCACGCTCTACAGCTCCAGGTATCAAATCCAGTGTGTTTGTTTTCCTAGAAATTTATATACTTAATCTTAAATTGCCTGACACCATCTGACAGATGCTGACTCTGACTATAACATGCTCCTTTTTCCTCCTTTCCTTCACACTGGTAACATCAAATCTGCTATCACGTATTATCTTAGCATCGCCTAATTCAAAAAAAAAGCTTGGGCAAGGGTCAGAGGGTAATGTATATGTTTGCAAAGGTGAGCAACAAACAAGAGGGTGTGAGAACCAGTGGTAAAGGACTACCAGCAAGCTACAAAACCATGAAGATTCCCATAAGAGAGGAAGACTACTGAATAGAAAATCTAAGAGAGCAATTAGATTTGCAGTATTTTTCAG